AGCGAGCCCTTTAAGAGCTGCTTCTCAGGTCATCACAGCCTTGCGGGGCTCGTGGGTGCGGCCCCCACTGGTTTTCAAGGCTAAATGTTTCTGGGGGACTTGTCTCTCAGGTGCAGGTCTTTAAAGGAGGGGTGCCTTGCTAGGGGGTTTTCAAGGCTAAATGTTTCTGGGGGACTTGTCTCTCAGGTGCAGGTCTTTAAAGGAGGGGTGCCTTGCTAGGGGGTTCAAACCCCTCACCTCCTCAGGGAGAAGGCCTGGGTTTTGAGTTCCCTCCGCAAGGTCGGTCCTCCCACCCAGGGCGGGGGTCCCGGCAAGACTGTGTCCCAGCCTCTCTTACCTGACAAGTAGGAGTCTCTCAGCCAATGTTTCTGGGTACTTTTTTGTTTTTTGTTTTTTGTTTTCAGACAAAGTTGTTCCCCACGCAGCTGTAGATTCGGTGCGTTTGCGGGGGGAGGTGAGTTCAGGATCCTCTTAGGTCTCCATCTTGAACCGGAACCTGGTTCCTTTCTCCCTTTGGCAGTTTTATATTAAAAAGACCTTATTAGCTTAAGGATGATCCCGCGCTTTTTAAAATTCATTGTTGATTTTTGAATTACAAGAAGAGCTCAACATTCTTAACTGGTAATTACCAATGACTCCTATACATTCTATGTTCAAAGAAATCAGTTAATAAAAGGGAAAATATGATGCCAGCTAATGTTTATACTTATGCAGGTATCTAAAAAAAATAAAGAGTTGGTGCTTTATAGTTGTAGGAATATTAATAAAAATATATTACAATTTTCTTCTCTTAAGCAGAACCTTGTATAGAAGATCCAGTCCCCACCTCCACCCCACCCCATGTAGCCAGAGACATCCACTGCATCAGAGAATATTAGGATTGTTAGACCAGGAAAATAAAGACAAAGGCAGAGTAAAAGTATAGCCTAATTGGTTACCCTGAAGTCCATTCTGTATTTAGAAAAGGCAAAATAAATGCATGTTGTTCTCTTTTCTCTAAAACAGCTTCAAAATAATGAGCTCATTCCCTTTTATTCCTCAACAGTGACCAATCAACTGAGTTGCTTTAGAATCATTAGGACCTTAACAGATATAATCATATTTGATATGTTTGAAATAATGGCAATTATTATGAATTTTGGGTGCTCAAAATGACCCATCCTTGCCTAGTGGGAACCCATTTTGATGGATTCTTCGGTCCTTTTGACACAACCCTGGTAGTGGTTTATAGCTTCCTTGCTTTCTGTAAATATTTACAGATAAAATGTCTGCGATTTGCTTTAAAACGATGGCACAGGAAAAAGAGGTAGAGATGAAACAGGATTGGCCATGGGTTGATAATTGCCTCATGGAGGTTCCTTACACTATCCTTTTACATTTGTATATGTCTGAAATTTCCAAAATAAAAAGTAAAGATTAAAAAAGTTCAGCCTGTGACTTCCAAAATAGGACCCTGAAATCCTTAGTAAGACAGTAGTCTTAAATGCCTGGTGTTGATGGGAGAAAAAGGGCTTTGGCAGTTTCCAAGGTTTCCCTTGATTTACCAAGAAAAAGTATAGAGATCTGAAAAATAAATAAATAAATAAATAAATAAATAAATAAATAAATAAATAAATAAAAAATAAAAAATAAAAAAAAAGGGCGCCTGGGTGGCTCAGTTGGTTAAGCGACTGCCTTCGGCTCAGGTCATGATCCTGGAGTCCCTGGATCGAGTCCCGCATCGGGCTCTCTGCTCGGCAGGGAGTCTGCTTCTCCCTCTGACCCTCTTCCCTCTCGTGCTCTCTGTCTCTCATTCTCTCTCTCTCAAATAAATAAATAAAATATTTAAAAAAAAATAAAAAAATAAAAATAAAATAAAATAAAATAAAAAGTATAGAGATCTGAACCTAAGAGTTTTCCTCAAAATCAAAGGTAGTGAGTTTTCTGGATATGAGGACATTCCCCCCAGCCCCAGGAAGGCATGAAACCCCCTCTAAGTCAGAAAACAGGAGGAGGGTGGAGGGTGAAAATAGTAGAAAACGGTGAACTGAAAGCCCCAAAAGTTTTTTTTCCTGGTGGGTACCTCTTGACAGTTTTGGTCTTGGTCACAGGGCTGCCTAAAAACGGCTTCTGAGGGTAACCTGTTTGTCTCATCTTCTTCCACGCTTTAGCCCAGATTCTTGCCTCTGATCCCCAAAAAGGCTGACTCAATTTCTTGGGGTCCAGGAAATCTTGCTTTTCAAACAGGTCAGGAAAGAGCACTGGGCTGGGAGTCCAGAAGCCAGCATGTGAGCCCTGTGACTCAAAAGGACACCGTTTTGGGTCTCAGTTTCATCACCCATTAAATGAAAGTTCAGCCCGCAAGACTCAAGATCCTTCAGTGTCCCAACCTTCCAAACCCGAGATTTCAGAACTCCTGGGCCTGAACACACAGCCCTGCAGGCCTTCATGCCTTTTCACTGAACGTCTTTTCCACCATTACACATTACACAGCCTCCTAAAGAAAGAGATGACGGCTGTCACTTTTTGCAGCTAATTGGGAGATGAGGTGCCCCGCAATAGAGAAACCCCAAAGTTGGCAGCACTTTCAGGCTTTGGGAATCAGGCGCGTCACCGACCTGTATGATTTCTCCTCTCTGTCCTTGCTCGCCAGCAAATCCTGACCCCCGTCCCCACCGCGGAGAAATCTCCTAAGAGACGGCTGCCGGCGTAGCCTCTGCGCCCAGGAGGCGTGGAGCAGAGGGCGCGGGAGCTGAGCGCGCTGCGGCCACGCTCCCCGCGCAGAGACGAGAGGGAGGGGCCGGCGGGGGCCGGGCAGCACCAGGGGCGGCGCGCGGGGCTCGCCGCGGCTCAGTCTCCTCCCGAGCCCAGCCCCGCCGGCGAGAGCGGCGGCGAGCGCGAGCCGGAGCCCGAGACCGGGCCTCGGAGCAGGGAGGCGGAGGGCCAGAGAAAGCGGCGGACCCGAGTGGAGGGCCGCGCTCGGGCCCCCGCCGCGTGCGTGTCCTCCTGGCGGATCCCGGTAAGTGCGGGCGGCCGAGTCCCCGCCAGCCTCCAGGCTTGGTGGCCGCAGTGGTCGTTGTCCCCAGATCCGGTGGCTCGCATCCCGCTGCTGCACCACAGGCTCACAGGTGGCTCCGCGGTGGACGTGGGGGCCCCAGGCCCCGCAAGGAGTTGGCGAACTCTCTCCGCTCAGGGTCGCGGTTTCCGAGCCCCCGGCTTCTTCCACCCCAACCACCCTTGCTTCCGGCTCCGAGGTGGGGGGCGCGGCGGGGCAGGGCCTGCCGTCGGGGTAAGACACGCCAGAGGAAAGCTCCCCTTCCCCAAACCACGCACAAACGATTCGGGGAGATGCGGGCCAAGCGCCTTCCCCAGCTGCGTCCCTGCTTGCTCGTGGCGCGTCTGTCCTTTAGTTTTATTTTCCTATTAACCCACCAGGGAAAGTTTGGGACCACACAAGGCAAAGTTGGGGCGCGGCTGGGGGTGCACTTCTCTGGCAGAGGCAGCTCCGGTGGAGTGGAGCGGCAGGTTTGCAGGTGGAACCGGCTCGCTGGAGCTGATCCTGCGCCCTGGGAGTTGAGTCTGTCCCTGCCGGTAGCCCTGGCCAGGCATTGTGACAATCCCCGGAGCCCTGTGAGTCGCTTAATCTTTGGTGCTAAGCGTCGACATCTGCAGCCAGCCGAGAATCTCTGTGATGGGTAGCAGCATCTTAGCCTGGTTTGACTTGTGTTCCTGCTCTGCTCTGCAAACCTGAGCTGCGGCTAATCCCAGTGTTTAAATGGCGTGTGTTTAATTAGCTTATTTTACACCTGGGATGATCTCAGCGAGCCTCTAAAATGAAATCGTTGATATAAAAAGCAACAACAGTGTTTATAAAGAAAAATTTAAATAGGAACCTTCAGAATAGCCGCTGTCGTGTCTAGATATCTAGTTTTACCCATCTCTGTGGGATAGAGAATGAAAACTGCTTGAATATCTAACCTACTAGAAGAGTCCGTGTTGGGGCTATTTTTGTCAGATTTTGTGGACGGAGGTATTGCTGCAGCTTGCATATTGTTTACGAAATACACATTGAGTCTCTAGAAATAGCCTACTTGTTAGGAGTTGTTTGATTTACTATGTTGTCTATTTTACACATGACTTAAGGTTGTTTTTAAAAATAAGCTTTAGCTGAAAACAATATCTAGATGTTTAGGGAAGACAGTCCATGTCACCAGAACATTCTTTTGTGAACTTAAAATTTTAAAGGGCTATTTTTCTGCATCAGACATAGGAGAAGCTTTTCATGAAAAATAAGATGCTGAGGTCTTTATGTGTATAGGAAAAGAGTGCTATCTCCTCCGACATTCAGTGCTTTCAAATGATAGATTAGATCAGAAAAGCGTGCCTTTCACTGGAATTACATAATTGGGCTGAAAGAAAACGCAATGAGTAATTATTGGTTGTCAAGTACTTAGTTCTAAAAGAAGTGGTACCTTTTATCACTGGGCAGTTATTTGTTACATGATTAAAGGTGGGATAAACTGATAGATTTTCATCTACAAATTTTTTTATATTTAACACACACATCTACATAGTCTAACCAACATTGGATTTACCAAAATGTTTGAGTTTATAAATACATGATTGTTATTAAGTGCTTACTAGGTGCCACATCTTATTCTAAGTGTCTCATCCTCAAAGCAGTCCTTGGTGGCAGGTGCTGTAATTGTTCTTATTTCTGAGATGGGGAAACAGAGGCACAGAGAAGTTACATAACTTACCCAAGGTCAAACACAGGATGGGACTTTATCATACCCACAGAGTTCTTTTTGTAGAGAAGACATGTGATTTTGTCATTTACCTCTCCTTGTTTTAATTTTCCTTTAAGCGTAAATGTCGAAAATATTTCCTGTGAAGCATAAAAACCCCTGATTGTGGAAGGCCCCACAGGCACCATTGACCGTAAAGTGAAGAAAAGCATGACAGAACCGTCTGGTTGAATCTACAATCGGAAGACCACCACATCCACCAGAAGACCCAGGATGGATCTGCACCAAAGCACTGCCATCCCTTTCCTCGAGAAATGGTGTTTGGAGAAGTCACTGTCTGGCTTCAGGAGACATTATAATGTCAGGAAAAAACTGAAGTTAGTTCGAATCTTGGGCCTTCTCATGGGCCTAGTAGCCATTAGCACTGTCCCATTTTCAATCAGTGCCTTTTCTGAGACAGAGACACAGAGCACAGAAGAGGTTGTTGGTGCAAGTGGCCCCAGCACGGCACATGGTCACCGTCAGAGAACTCTCTTAGATTTAAATGACAAGATTCTGGATTATACTCCACAGCCACCCCTTTCTCAGGAAGGCACGTCTGAGAACACTACAGATCACGCCCAAGGAGACTACCCAAGAGACATCTTCTCCCTCGAGGAGCGAAGAAAAGGCGCCATCGTTCTGCATGTCATTGGAATGATCTATATGTTCATAGCCTTAGCCATTGTCTGCGATGAGTTCTTTGTCCCTTCTTTGACTGTCATCACTGAGAAATTGGGCATCTCTGACGATGTGGCCGGAGCCACCTTCATGGCTGCGGGGGGCTCAGCCCCAGAACTTTTCACATCTCTCATAGGGGTATTTATTGCTCACAGCAATGTTGGAATAGGCACAATCGTGGGCTCAGCAGTGTTCAACATCCTCTTTGTTATTGGCATGTGTGCTCTGTTTTCTAGAGAAATCTTAAACCTGACATGGTGGCCACTCTTTCGGGATGTGTCCTTCTACATCATTGACTTGATCATGCTGATCATATTTTTCCTGGATAATGTTATCATGTGGTGGGAAAGCTTGCTTCTCTTAACAGCTTACTTCGGCTACGTGGTTTTCATGAAATTCAACGTCCAAGTAGAAAGATGGGTGAAGCAAATGATAAATCGCAATAAAGTCGTCAAGGTGACAGCACCAGAGACCCAAGCAAAGGTTGGTGGTGGCGGTTGTTTATTTAATGTTCTGAATAATTGTGTTTTCGAGATCTGCCACTTTTTTTAATGGGATGGTGTTTGGGGCTAGTGTGGATAGCGGATTGCTTTGGGGCAGTGGGAAAACATAATTTGGGGATATTCTGGTGGTTTTCTCCTAAGTTCTCAAGCTCCTGGCTTCAGAGTAAAACACTGATAAATATAGGTTATGTAAGTATCCCAGAGTGGACTCAACAGTTATTTACATCTGGAAGTAGGCATAATGATTTTGTGAGCCATTGAATTTTCATGGGAGAGTGTGTGTATGTGTAGTTTAGCAAATTGCAGGTATTTTTTTTTAAGTAGGCACATGACAATGGTCAAGAATCATCTCTTTAAAGATGTTTAAGGAAGAAAGTTTGTTTGTGTCACCAGAGCTGTACCTTTAAGTCAGCAGCAGGGCCCAGAAGGACTGGTCATTGGAATGGTCACGGCCATTTTTCTTGATCCACATGATGATCTTCAGACCACTTGACCAGGAGCTGATGGAGATCCATGAGAAGGAGTCATTGCCAAGCCCTGCTGTCTGTCTCCATGGCTTGATGACCCATTTTGCATGCCATGATAAACATCAGCCAAGATAATTTTACAGTAGAATTTCAGGGAGTTTTCATGAGAAGAGTGGCCATCCTTCCACTTAGGTGGTGAGCAAATTGGTATAGCGCTGAGAATAAATTGATCTGCTAAAACGTAAAGTAATTTTTTTAAATAATGGATAAAAAACACCAATAAAATCTTATGTTAAGTATAGTAATGAAGTTCTGATTCATATCCTAACATTGGAATGTTGTCTCTGAATGTAATTTTAAACAGAAAACCAAAATACATATGCAGATTTTTCATACTAGCATCTGGGAAAAATCTCATGTATGCAAAAAACAGATGTTGAGTGGAGGGTGAGATATTTTATCAAAAAAATAAAAGATATTAACCTAGCATAATTCCTTTATGTTCAGGTTGGATGACCACCCATCATTTTTGTAGCAACCATGACATGGAAGCAAAAAACCCCCAAAACACCAGTAATATTGCTGTTTATTATGTGTAAAAGAAAAATGTTTTCTACTATATTTTTTTCTGACATTTCACTCAGTGTATGGTTGTTTGTTAGAAACTGTAGTAAAAAAAAAAAAAAAGTCATTTAGCAGTAGACATGGCAAGTAAGCATTCAGATGTTAGAACTGAATACATATCCTTGAGGGCATCGTTGGACCCCTCTCCCTGCTCTAATTTTGTAGCCAAAATGATGATCCCTCAAGCCTGATTGCTAGTTTGAGCAGTTCACATTAATAATCTATGTGTTTATTTCAGTTAGAGTACTTAATAATTGCCAAGGGAAAGACATATTTTTTTTAGAGTCAAGGAAACAATTTGGTGTCTTATAAATATCCTGGGCACATCAAGGGTAAAAAGTCTTTTCAAGGGCTTAGTATATTTTTGTTTTGTTACACAACAGTGGAACTTCACTAACTTAATCATAGATTCTGCTGAAGGTTATACTGACAACATTTGTGATAAAGAATTTGCAGAGCAATCTGATGGTGTATTTAAGATTTAGGGGGATTTTATATTCTGATTTGAGGAGGAGCTGATTTTGTGCATTTGGGAGTAACTTTTTAAATACAGTTTACAGGCAATATTTAATCAGTTGTAAACCATTCATTAAAGTAGCTCTGGCAGGATCTTTACCTACTACAGTAGGTGACTGTCGTGTCAATTTTATGATATTTAAAAGTCAGCAGCTTAGGTTGACAATCCTTAACAGTAGTTATTCAAATCCATAATTTAGTGCTATGCTTAATATTGTGCAGTTTTTAAATTTGGAAGTTCTGGATTTACCTAATTAAAAAAGAAAGTAGATTAGATTCATGTCTATTTCTCCTGTTTCTTATTTTCCCCCCCAAATATGTTCATTGTATTATTTCCCTTGTTAGCACTGAATAGCTTTAATTTATTCCTTTTAATCGTTTTTATTTTTTTTGGCATTCAGTAACTAAATTGAACTATAAATTATCACAGGAATAGAATTTTTTTAAGCATAGCTATGTCTTGTTTGGTGTTCCTCAAAAATGCTAGAACACATTTTTAGGAGGAACAGTGTATAATGATAGGTGATTTCCTTCAGGAAATTTCACCTTGCCAGTTTCACTTTTGAAGTATTGTTGGGGGAAAAAAATTTGTTTCAGCAGTTAGTCTTTATCATATGCCTGATTTCAGAATATTATGACCAAGCACTGAACATAATGTGTCCCAAAGAGGGATGAGTCCTTGAATGTGGCCATCTAGTTCTCTAACCGGCAGAGTAGATTTCTGATTACATACCCCACCGTCCTACAGAAACCAGTGATTCTGATATCATCAAACCTTGCAGGAAAGAGACCCTAACCCAAGTGCAGCCCTCAACGAAGTCTTCATGGAGAGGAATGTGCTGTAGAAGAATTTAGGAAGCAAAATACTCAGCATGTTTTTGTGTTCGTCTTTGTACAACTATGGAGAATGGGAGCTTGGGAAACTAGAGGAAACATATTTTAGATGTTCTTGTACAAATCATCTGTGATTCTTGCTAAAAAATCATCACCTCTGCTGGGCTTTGGGCAGTGAACTGTTTTGGAAACTATTTGCTTCATAGACAAGTTGAAAATTCTAATTTGTTTCCATTATTGAGGATATATATCACGGGGCAATTGGGAAACATGGAAAAATGTGAGCTGCGTTTTGTTTATAGTGATGGTAATAGTTTCTCATCTCATTTAATTTTTACACCCTGTGTGTGGTTTTTATTTGTCATTACTATTATTTCTTTTAGTGATAATAATATCCTTTTTAAAAAGTTGTGTGGTGTCGGGGCGCCTGGGTGGCTCAGTCAGTTAAGCGTCTGCCTTCGGCTCAGGTCATGATCCCAGGGTCCTGGGATCGAGCCCCACATCGGGCTCCCTGCTCGGTGGGAAGCCTGCTTCTCCCTCTCCCACCTCCCCTGATTATGTTCCCTCTCTCGCTGTGTCTCTCTCTGTCAAATAAATAAAATCTTTTTAAAAAAATAAAAAAATAAAAAGTTGTGTGGTGTCATGACAGGGTAAATAGATCTGGGGTTTTGACTCAGGGTAAAAAAAGATTTTGACCTCAGTGTGTAAACAGCCTGGTGATCTCAGAAGTTATATAAATTCTCTGAGCCTCGGTCTCCTAATTTGAACATGAAAATAGTAATGCCTACTTCATGGAGCTAGGAAAACTATTAAATGAAGAAATGAACGCTAAGCAGCTAACATGGTCCTTGGCAAATGTGGGTTGTTCAATAAATGTTAGTTCTTTTCCTTTTATCGTCTGTTCTTAAATGAAAAGTGAGTCAAAATAAAATTTTTTTTAAGATTTATTTATTTACTTGAGAGAGAGAGTGTGCATGTGAGCGGTAGGAGGGGCGGAGGGAGAGGGAAAGAGAGACTCTCAAGCAAACTCCATGCTGAGCACAGAGCCTGATGTGGGGCTCCATCCCACAACCCTGAGACCATGACCTGAGCTGAAATCAAGAGTCCAACGCTCAACCAACTGAGCTACCCAAGCATCCCTAAAATACATTATTTTAAATTCAAGAATTTCACATTTTTAAAAACTGGAATTCATGCCAGTGAATCACTGAGTTAAGCAGATCATTGTCTCCCTTAGGGGCATAGGCTATTTGTCATAGTATGATATTTATAAGCCCTCGTTCACATACAGTGAATATATGCAGACCAGCTATTATCATAAACTCTAAGGAAACCTCCAAATGCATTTATTGTCCTGAAATTTTATTGTGTAGACTTTTGCTTGAAATAAGTAGGCCATTAACTGGGGTTAAGAAATATCGATGCTGAGCAGAGATTTTTGTTTTCAGGGTATTCTTATTTATAAATGATTGGGACTCTCTTCTAAAAACTTCTCCATGGCTGGTCAGGAATAACTGAATCCTGCAGGATGTGAAGCAGTGGAATCTCAGGGCATCCAGAGCATTTTGCTGTGCTTCTGGCCTGGTTGCTGAAGGTCCCTTGATCTGTTCCGTGCTAGGCCATCATTGGCCTAGAAAGCAGCTGTCCATGGTATTTAACTTCTTCTTAGATTTGGCATTATAATCTGACAGCAAGTCAGCCCAGTTCTAATGAAGGAATGGTCTAAATAAAGAGGCTTAAGACTGGATCGTTGAAGAGTAGGCCACTTAGTAATTTAGGTGTGCTTTGCTTTATTCGGTTTGTATGTTCCTGAAAAGTTGTTTGTAAATAGAGTTTTGTGGTTCAAATTGTTATTAATGTTCATGAGAAAAACAAAATAAAAACAATACTATAAATATTCCTCACAAGGTGAAGTCATTCTTATAAGGTGCTAAACCATCAATAATTTTATTAGTACAAATGTGTAGGTCCAAGCTTGCTTATGGCACAGAAGATACTATATATTCAATTTTTGTTTCCCCTCCTAATAAATAAATGAGTAAAATGAATGTACAAACTTCAAGGAAGGTAAAGTAAGATCATCCTTCTAATAAATAAAAGGATAGGATTACTTCATAGACTTGGAAACTCTCTGTCCTCTCAAGAAAGAAAATTTAGGCGTTAAAATTCTTAACTGACTAGATGTCTGTGAATGTAGTATGTTTATCTAGGGATACAGAATGGTGCTCTTTTCCTTGCTTTGTTTCCTTCTACTTATATTAAAAGCAAACCCTTTAGTTACTGCATGTGATTCAGAGAGTGAAAAGGCATTGCAACAGACCCAGAAAGCCCAGCAGATTTTAATACACAGAAGTCAGATTAGCTGTGGCTTTCCATCCTTGCTTCTCTGATTTCTCCAGCAAGAGAGGACCTAAACTTTATGAATCCAGGCAATCTTGAGAGCAAGGATTTACCACCATTTCCCTTCCTTCCTCCCTTCTTCCTTTGTCTATTTTTCCTACCCCCCCAATTCCTTTCTTCCCCTTTTCTTTCCTTTTCT